GAAAAATCTAAAAGGAGTTTATCATCACCAAGCCATTACTCTATGAAATATTAAAGGGACTCTTTTAAGAAAAAGAAAAAGATGAAAACTATGAACAAATGGCAAAAATATGTGTCTATCAACAATTGAATCTAAATAACAAACTAAGGAAACAAGAACAGAGACAAAATCATGATACAGAGAGCATACTGGTCATTGCTAGATGGGAGGGGTGTGTGGGAGAACGGGTGAAGAGGCAAAGGGATTAAGAAGTACAAATAGGTAGTTATAGAATAGCTGTGAGGAAGTAAAGTGTAGTATAGGAAATGCAGTAGCCAAAGAACATATACACCTGACCTGTGGACATGAACAATGGTATAGGAAGGGAGTGGGGAGTGTAGTATGGAGGGGAGCCAAGGGGGAACAGTTTGAAAAACTGTAATAGAATAACCAATATAATAGAAAAATATGAATAATAAAATGGAATAAACGGCATACCTACCAACAATTACTTTAAATATAAATGGATGAAATACTCCAATCAAAAGATACAGGGTGGTTAATTGGCTAAGAAAACAAGGCCATTTCATATGCTGTCTACAAGAGATTCATTTCAGATCCAAAGACACAACAAACTGAGTCATGAAAAGATATTTCATGAAAATAGAAACAAAAAAATATGGAGTAGCAATACTTATACCAGACAAAATAGACTTTAAAACAAAGGCTCTCAGGAGACAAAGAAGGACACAGCAATTCCACTTCTGGGTATTTACCTTAAGAAACCCAAAACACTAAATTGAAAAAATGTCTGCATCCATATGTTCACTGCAGCATTACTGACAATAGACAAGATATGAAAGCAACCTAAGTGTCCATCAAGAGATGAGTGGATGAAGAAGTGGTGCATATATACAGTGGACTATGACTCAGCCACAAAAAAGAATGAAATTTTGCCAGTTGCACCAACATGGATGGACCTAGAAAGTGTTGTGCTAAGCGAAATAAGTCAGACAGAAAAACACAAATGTCGTAAGATTTCACTTACCTGTGGAATCTAAAAAGCAAAATAAATGAAAAAGCAGAACTGAGACAGAGACACAGAGAACATTTTAACAGTTGCCAGGTGAGAGCAGAGTAGGGGTGTGGGTGAAAAAGGTGAAGGGAGTAAGAAGTACAAATTGGCAGTTACAGTAGACTCATGGGATGTAAAGGACAGCATAGGGAATATAGCCAGTAATATTGTGATAACTATGCACAGTGCTAGGTAGGTACCAGACATATCAGGGTGATCACTTCATAAGTTATATAAACAAGTATCTAATCACTGGTTGTACACCTCAAACAAATATAATATAGTATGTCAAGTGTAATTAAAAATACTTTAAAAATAAGAATTAAAAAAAAAAAGGGACTTCCGGCAAGATGGAGCAATAGGTGGACACACCATACCTCCTCGCACAACCAAGATTAGAACAACAATAATTTACAGATAGAATAACACTCAGAACGGATAGAGGATTTATTTGAATGGAAGTCGGACAGCCAAGAAGTTGAAGTAGACCCATATATCCAGACTGGTAGGAGAAGACGAGCCGGGTGGGCGCGGGGCTGGTGCAGGTCAGCGACGCGCGGAGGTCGGGGAAAATTTGGCGCGAAATAGGCGCGACAGCCATCCAGGACACAAGAACGCAGCGGTGATCCTTGAGCATGCAAGCTGTGGCTGGCGGACCCAGTGAGGCAGTGATTGTGGACCAGGGCAGAGCTCGCAGCCCAGGATCCCAGAGAAGGGTCTGAGCCCAGGAGAACGGAACTACCGCCATTGTTCCCTCCCGTCCCCGCTCCTGCCCCCGCCCCCACATATAATGTCACAATCTAGCGACTGGGGTGCCCAGCCCCGGTGAACACCTAAGGCTCCGCCCCCCACCATAACAAGAGCGACCAGACCTGAAAAAAAAAAAGGAGAGACAGGGAAAGACATGTTTCCAACAGAACAGATCAGTCCCCCAGGACTCATCCTTTTGAGCGACCAAGAAATAGCCAATCTATCAGATGCGCAGTTCAAAACACTGGTGATCAGAAAGCTCATGGAATTGGTTGATTTTGGGCACAATTTAGATGAAAGGATGCAGGTTATCATAAAAGAGATGCAGGAAGATACACGGAGGAGAGCCAATAGTGAAAGGAAGGAATCTGAGTCTCAAAACAATACAGTGGACCAGAAGAAAGATAGAATCAACCAAGCAGGAAAGCATGATGAAATAAGAATTCAAAAAATCGAGGAAAAGCTTAAGAGCATCCAGGACACCTTTAAACATTCCAACATCCGAATTATAGGGATACCAGAATGGGAAGGGGAAAAGCAACAGATTGAGCACGTATTTGAACAAATAATAAAGGAGAACTTCCCCATTCTGGCAAAGGGAACAGTCTTCCAAGAAATCCAAGAAGCTCAGAGAGCCCCAAAGAAGTTGGACCCAAGAAGAAACACACCAAGGCACATCATAATTACATTAGCCAAGGTAAAAACGAAGGAGAGTATCCTAGAAGCAGCAAGAGATAAGGGGACAGTAACATACAAAGGAGTTCCCATCAAACTGTCAGCTGATTTCTCCAAAGAGACCTTACAGGCAAGAAGGGGCTGGAAAGAAATATTCCCAGTCATGAAAGACAAGGACCTACATCCCAGATTGCTCTATCCAGCAAAGCTCTCATTTAGAATGGAAGGGCAGATAAAGTGCTTCTCAGATAAGGTCAAGTTAAAGGTGTTCATCATCACCAAGCCCTTATTTTATGAAATGCTAAAGGGACTTATCTAAGAAAAGAAGATAAAGAAAAAGACATGTATAGTAAAAGGACAGCAAACTCACAATTATTAACAACCACACCTAAAGCAAAACCAAAAGAAACTAAGTAAACAACTAGAACAGGAACAGAACCACAGAAATGGAGGGCACATGGAGGGCTAGCAACAGGGGGGTGGGAGGAGGAGAGAGGGGGAAAAGGTATAGAGAATAAGTAACATAGAATGTAGGTTGAAAATAGATAGGGGGAGGGCAAGAGTAGTACGGGAAATGTAGAAACTAAAGATCTCATAAGTATGACACATGGACATGAACTAAGGGGGGAAACGTGGGTGGGAGAGGGGGTACAGGGTGGAGGGGAGAGAAGGGGGGAAATGGGACAACTGTAATAGCATAATCAATAAAATATATTAAAAAAAAGAATTAAAAAAAATATATATATGGCTTCTCAGACCCCACACCAGATGAGATGTTTGAGGATGTATCTCTCCCCAAACAAACTGAATTCTCAGGGGGCAGAATTAATATCTTTTAGAGCCCCATGTCCCCCCTGGGCTCATCACAGTGCTGCCCACAGGAGAGGCTCAAATGTAACCCATGGGCAGCAATCTGAGGCCGGAAGTGGCCTGGCAAGTGTGCCTTACCTCTCTCCTCATCCCCCCCAAACCTTCCCTTCTCCATTTTATCAGACCTGAAGGTCTCAAAACAGCAATTGCCCTCCAGGCCTGAACATTTGTCTTTTTACTAACTGGTTTGAGGTCCTCCTGAAATCACCAAAAGGGTTGAATTCATCACCTCGCGCAACAGCTTCACTGTCTGGGGCACTAGAGACAAGACAGACGAGCAGGGGTGGGAGCAGTTTCCTCCCTCTTCTTTGTTGCTTTGGGGGGCATAAGGTAGGAGGAATTTTGAGTACAGTCCTGATTTGCAAAGGCCAGGTCAAGCCCCAGAGGTAATCTACCAAACCTCTACTTCAAACCAGGGTAAAGGGTGACTTAAAACAGTATGTTCATCAAGCTGGCACTGGAGCCTCAGCCCTTGCTGGTCTCCCACGACTGCCCTCACAAATCCACCTCGCCAGCTGAGCTGTTCTCCTCACCCTCTGCACGTCTCAACCTTTAACACAGCAAGCACTGCTCTTCTTCTGTGTGAGCTCCCTCTAACTCACAATCTCCTTCCTGCCCTCCGTGCAGCTCCTGCACAGAGCCTACCCCGCCGCGCCTGACTGAGATCTTCACTGCATCCCTTTGCCCATTGCCACACTCACATTTAAGTAACTTATCACACATTATCTTGCATCATTTTGCTGTGTGAACAGCCTCATCTACCCCACTTGATAGTGAGCTCCTTGACAGCAGGGACCACGCCTGATGCTTGTATGTATTTTCTATCCCTCCACTGTGCTGGACACACAGTGAGGTGTGAACACTTGATTGGAGTCGAAGCCCGCACTCCAAGATAATCACACTGAACAACTATGAAACGGACTGCACAGTGGGCAATGGGCTAAGCACCTCCTGTATGCTTTCTCATTTAATTCTCACTGAAAACCCCTTAAAGGTAGGTATTAATGTTATCTTATTTTCCAAATGAGGAAACATAGAGGTACAGACTAAACATAATCTGCCCTAGTTTGCACAGCTAAGAGTCAAAGCCAAGATTTGAACCCACTGAGTTTATAATGTGCTTTTAACTACTATATGGGACTATCTCCCCAGAGAAAGGGGATCTAATGAGAATGAAGATCCAGAGGAACAAGCTCATTCCCCACTTGCCTTCCTTGAACACATGCATGAACACTTGAAGGGCTAGTGCAATCTTGGCTGGGTCAAAGGACTCCATCGTCTTTCAAATGAATGACACCAGCTTATCCTGGTATAACCAGGCTATGAGAGAGCGGGAATACAAGAGGATAGAGCCTCCCCAACTTCCTTTCCTTTCAGACCATACTTAGTCCACCCAGCATGGGCAGGGAGAGTGAAAGAGAAAGACTATCCAACCCGACAGCATCTCTATCAAGCTTGCCCCCTGCCCCAGAGCAGGCCAAGAAAGGTCAGATGGAGAGGAGCATCTACTCATACCAGGCCTGCTCTCAGCTATCACCTGCCCCTTCCACAGCCTCTGGGATTCACATGCAGCAGGACCCAGACCATCCTGACCTTCTCTCCTCCCTCCCTGATTCTAACAAAGCCTTCCCCAGGCCCTCCAGATCCTCACCATAGCACATCACCAGCATGTTGTTCTCTTGGGCCATCCTCAGAAGGCACAGGATGTGTTGCCAGATGCGCCCAGTTAAGAGAGCAGAACCTGGGGGGAAGAGTACAAGAAAAACGTCCGTATCCCAGGGATAGGAGACTCCCCGCTTCACTGTAGCAAATCTTATTGATTAGGGGCCAGAAGGCTTTGGGTTCACATCCTAGCTCTGCTTCCAGAGAGTCTGGACAACTTGGAGCAAGTTACTGAGTTTATCCTCCTTTCAGCTTCCTCAGCTGCTAAATAGGGTCACCCAATGTGACCACCTCACAGAGCTGCTGGGAAAATAAAGGTCAGTGATGGATGTTAGCACAGCATACAAATGCAAGGTAGTGACACACCCTACACAGGCACACTCCCTTCCAAGGGCCCTTAAGAAAACAAAGAGCTGTGCTGCCTGAAGCTCTGCTCACTGTTCTGAAGTGAGACCATTTGGCCTGGTTAGGTTGAGAGACACATTTCCAGCTTCTGTCACTGTGTCCTCTAAGGTTCCTATGCAGCCCAACCCATAAGACGTGTCATATTTAACCCCAATGCTCAGAAGGCCAGATGACTTCCCCCAACCTCTCCCTGGATGCAATTCCAAGTGGTAAAGAAAGGGTAGGTACTGTCATTTGTGTGGCGACTATTTTTTTCCACACTGTGATTGAGGGAGGGAAGTTGAATGGGTAAGAGAGCCAATGCTGTCACCAACAGCCACCAGGACGGGGATTATATGGTGATTCTCTGCCTCATCCTACTACACTATTACCTCCCAAACCTGTAATCAAATTCAAAACTTCAGGATCCCCCAAGCAAAGCACTCCTCACTTCTCTTTTGCCTCTATCCACCACTCTTGAATGGGGCTTTCTATTTAGTCTTCTCGCTCCATCTTTGTTCCCAAGTCTAACCTCCAGACCCACAGTCTCCCATGCCCTAACATGCCCTCCTGTGCGATTCCTAGTCTACAGGAACTCCCTTCTGAGTTCCCATCAGCTCCACAGGAATCCTAGTTTGCACCCTGCCTGACACACCCATGGCTGGAGGATAAAGCTATAGTCTAAATTCCATACAACGCCCCCACTGCCTGCTGCCCCTGTTCTCAGGCTAACTCTTCCACCACAGGGAGCAATACCTTGGGAGAGGCTGAGCTCCCCTACTGCAATCAGGAGGCTCCTTGGGGGCAGACAATTATCATACTTTCTGTTCCAGAGCTTCCTGAAGACCATTCATGGATACTTGGACTCCAGAGCTGCTAAGACAGCAGTGCACATCTTCTCCACTTCTCCTGGCTTCTGGAAAGAGAAGGACTTAACTGTTCTGAGGTTAATATCCAATACAAGTCCCTCAGCTTCTAAGAATCAGTTTTGGTCAATAAGTGACTCTCCTCTATCTAGAGGGCAGGAACTAACCTACCTCATCCCACCACTTCATTCAATGTACACCTTCCCCACAAGAGAGGACAAGGGCAAAGTCTCTGGCTTGTGTGTTGGGGTGGGAATGGGAACTGGCATATCCAGAGCACAGAGTTTTCCCTGCAGCAGCAAGTGAAACATCAGGAAGGTGGTTAGATGGTAGAGGCCACTTTGAAAAGTCCCTGATAGGTCAGGGGTCTTGATCAGAAAGGAGGCATGCCAAGGAAAGCCAAGAAACTGGAAGACACCTTGTATGTAGGCAGTTAAACAAGAAAATAAGAAACCAAGTTTACCCAGTATCAGGAAAATTAAGTACAGAAGCATATGAATAGATGAATAAGTAGGGGTCATGAATGTTCAGTCTAAAGTTGGGCTGGCAGACAAGTGGATAGATTTAAACAGCTTAGTGAACAGATTGAGATGATTAGTTGAGTTGCAGTAACATGGATGACTGCCTAAGATATCCCAGGACACAGCAAAAGAACAAGGTCAGGCTTTGAGGCCAAAAGTCTAAATCCTTCCTCCCCCTTTCCATCTCATTTCTTTCACCTTACCCCTGTACTTCATTATCTTCTAGGTCACATTTCTTGATACATGTTCATGATATCAGATATAAGCTATAGTAAATTGTTTAGAAACTTTAGGTACCCATATCCCAGATGCCACTTAGTTTCCAAATGTCATCATTCACCAGAAAGGAACTCCTGGGTTTAGACCTGGGATCCTTTCTTCCCCCACAGCCCCCAACCCAGAGGCATGGGCTTCTCACCATTGTCCTCAGGTAGCTGAGATGACATCCAGCAACTCCAGACGCAGTACACTTCCTAACTTTTCGTGGATGATGTTGAGTTGCAGTAACTGAAGGATGTATATAATTTCCTCTTCTGGGAACTATGGGAGAGAGGGGACTCAAAAGAAAGGAAGGTTGAAGGATGGAGATTTTTAAAAAAGAGAATAATGTTCCCAGTAGAGAAAGGAAGAGGAGGAGTGAATCTAGAGAGAGGATTAAAGCTGGACCCAGGGTTGAGGGGGATGGAGAAAGTATGGGTCAAACTAAGGACATAGAACCCTGACCTGGAGCTGTAGTGCTCTGCTGACTGGAAATTCTTCCCACTCTCCTGGTACAATGGCAATACACCCAACCAACTACCTTTTTGGAAATGGTTCTGCCTTAGCTAGAGCAGGAAGATGTCTGATATGTCCTCACCTGATCTGCACATTGGAATCCTTTCATCAAGTTTCTGATGTTTGTGGTTGAAGTGTACTTTTTCAACTTCTACTTGGCAGTCTTTGAGGAACGTCCCGTACCTCTAAACATCTCTGTAAGGAAAAAAGAGGGTGAGCAGGGGGAAGCTGTTACTCTCTTGATGGAGGTAGGCATGTATTTCTTCAAAAGTGAGTAACACAGAATGATGAAAACATGCAAAAAATAGAAACAAATCAGGGACAAATCAGAAGAGACAAGTTTGGCTCCTGACTATGTCTTTGCCTCTCACTAGCAAGATATCTTTGGAAATTCACTTAACTCCTGGAGAGTCTATTTCTTCATATGTAAAATTAGTATAATAAAAATCAACATGATCCCTGGCTGGTATGGCTCAGTGGATTGAGCACCAGACTGTGAAGGAAAGGGTTGGCAGTTCAATTCCCAGTTGGGGCACATGCCTGGGTTGTCAACCAGGTCCCCAGTGGGGCATACAAGAGGCAACCACACATTAATGTTTCTCTCTCTCTCTCTCTCTTTCCCCTCCCTTCCCCTCTCTAAAAATAAATAAATAAAATATTTTTAAAAATTAGTATGAAATTCCTGATACAGGAGATATGTGATATTAGATATCAACCTTTAGAATCTCATCCTGCCCTCTAAATCACATCTTTCTGTTCAGATAGGAAGTGGGTCCTATGGTTGGATGGAGAGTTGGGGGCAGGGAGTGGTCTACAGTCCACAGGTATTCACAGGTATTCACTATAAAAGTGAATACTTTGCCCTGGCTGGCGTAGCTCAGTGGATTGAGCGCGGGCTGCGAACCAAAGTGTCACAGGTTCGATTCCCAGCCAGGGTACATGCCTGGGTTGCAGGCCATAACCCCCAGCAACCGCACATTGATGTTTCTCTCTCTCTCTCTCTCTATCTCCCTCCCTTCCCTCTCTAAAAATAAATAAATATAATCTTTAAAAAAAACTGAATACTTTAACTACAAACTAGAAACAAAGAGAATGAAATAAGAATTATAGATAGATATGAAGAAGAAACAATTAGAAAACTTGGAGATTAAAAATATAGGCATTAAATTTTAAAATCTCAACAAATAGGATATAGTCAAGACTGAACATAGTTAAATGAAGAATTAATAAATTAAAAAATGGTTCTGAGGAATTCACCTAGTATGCAATGCAGAAAAGTAATTTTTAATAAAAGAACAATTAATAGACATGTAAAATAATACAGCCACTATGGAAAACAATTTGATATTATCTACTTTATGATCCTTTCCTAGGTACACACCCAGCAGAAGTGTGCCATTATTCATAGTAGCCCCAAAGTGTAGCTAAAATTTCCAATATCTTCGTAATAAATTTTTATATACATATATATCACTCATCTGATGAAATACTATACAGCAGTGAAAATGAACAAAGTATAATCTTGTGCAACAATATGTATAAATCTAACAAATATGAGTGAAAAAGGCAGTCACAAAATAATACACACTTCATTAGTGTGTCTAAAAAGAAAACAGTCAAATGTAAACTACTGTGTTTAGGAATGCCAACTTAGGTAGTAAAACTTTACAGAAAAGCAAGGGAGTGATGTTTATAAAGCTTTCATGGCTTAGCCTGGGAGGGCGTAGCAGCCAGAAAGATCACAATAGGGAGTTCTAGGGTGCTGGTGATGTCACTCTTTTACTTCGACCCTGGTGACACAAACATCTGCTCAGTGAGAAGTCACTAAGGTCTACATACTTGGCTCATGCACATTTCTCAGTGTTTATTTAACAACAAAAAATTGTAAGGTAAGATAAGACAATGCAGGGTTTTACATCAAATGAATAAGTAGGTATATTTTTATAGGGTACATAGATGAAGGAAAACAAGTGGGTAAACAACTCAGTAGAAAGATTTCAGAGTAGCCTGGATGACTAGTGAATAAGTGAACTGGAACACAGACTAAAGTGACTCAGAATACAGCACAGATATAGGCACAACTGTAGATGAACTATTAAAAATTTTGAACTCTAAAAAAAACCACTTCAATGTCATAGGTCTTGGTCTGCCTTGAAGGTCAACTGGTTGAGGTGGAAATACTATAAATAGTACAAGTACAATAGTACAAATAGCACAAGTACAAATATATAGGTAAATAAAATGAAAAGATGCAACAAAAAAGAGATGAAGAAAATATGTGTTTAAAGAGATGGAGGACAGGAACTTCCAGCCAAGATGGAGGCATAGGTAGATACATTGTGCCTCCTCACACAACCAAAAGAAGGACAATAATTTAAAAACAAAAAACAACCAGTACTGACAGAAAATCAAACTGTATGGAAGTCTGACAACCAAGGAGTTAAAGAAGACACATTCATCCAGACCAGTAGGAGGGGCGGAGATGGACAGCCAGGCAGAAAGTACTTGCAGCAAGGTGGGCTGGTGGAGCGGGCAGTCCCACATTTGCACACAGACAAACCAGGAGGAACAGCTGGGGAGCGAAACAGACCTCACAATAAAGCCTCAGACCACAGATTGAAAACACCTGTGGGGGCTGAGGTGCCAGTGGGAGAAACTCCCAGCCTCACAGGAGAGTTCGCTGGAGAAACCCACAGTGTCCTAGACATACACAAGCCCACCCACCCTGGAATCAGCACCAGGAGGGCCCAATTTGATTGTGGGAAGTGGGGGAAGTGACTGAAATCTGGCAGAGAGCAAAGCAAGCACCATTTTTCCTCTGGGACCCCAGCCCCACATACAGGATTACAATGCAGGGACAGAGGTTGCCCTGCCCTGGTGAACACCTAAGGCTCCGCCCCTTACTACACAACAGGTGTGCCAAGACAAAAAAAATGGCCCAAATGAAAGAACAGATCAAAGCTTCAGAAAAAATACAATTAAGCCATGAAGAGATAGCCAACCTATCAGATGCAGAGTTCAAAACACTGGTAATCAGGATGCTCACAGAATTGGTTGAATTTGGTCACAAATAATAGATGAAAAAATGAAGGTTATGCTAAGTGAAATAAAGGAAAATGTACAGGGAACCAATAGTGATGGGAAGGGTTTAGGAACTCAAATCAATGGTGTGGACCAAAAGGAAGAAAGAAACATACAACCAGAAAAGAATGAAGAAACAAAAATTCAAAAAAATGAGAGGCTTAGGAACCTCTGGGACAACTTTAAACATTCCAACATCCAAATCATAGGGGTGCCAGAAGAAAAAAAGAAAGAGTGAGAAATTGAAAACTTATTTGAAAAAATAACGGAGAACTTACCCAGTCTGGAAAAGGAAATAGACTTCCAGGTAGTCCAGAAAGCTCAGAGAGTCCCAAAGAAGTTGGACCCAAGGAGGAACACATCAAGGCACATCATCATTAAGTTACCCAAGATTAAAAATAAGGAGAGAATCTTAGAAGCAGCAAGAGAAAAGGAGACAATTACCTACGAAGGAGTTCCAATAAGACTGTCAGCTGATTTCTAAAAAGAGACCTTGCAGGCAAGAAGGGGCTGGAAAGAAGTATTCCAAGTCAGGAAAGGCAAAGACCTACATCCAAGATTGCTCTATCCAGCAAAGCTTTCATTCAGAATAGGAGGGCAGATAAAGTGCTTCTCAGATAAGGTCAAGTTAAAGGAGTTCATCATCACCAAGACCTTATTATATGAAATATTAAAGGGACTTATCTAAGAAAAAGAAGATAAAAAGTGTGAACAGTAAAATGACAGCAAATTCACAATTATTAACAACCACACCTAAAACAAAAACAAAAGCAAACTAAGCAAACAACTAGAACAGGAACAGAACCACAGAAATGGAGATCACTTGGAGGGTTAGCAACAGGGGAGTGGGAGAGGGAAAGAAGGGGAAAAGGTACAGAGAATAAGTAGCATAGATGGTAGGTAGAAAATACTCAGGGGGAGGGTAAGAATAGTATGGGAAATGTAGAAGCCAAAGAACTTACATGTATAACCCATGGACATGAACTAAACGGGGGGAATGCGGGTGGGAAGGGATGTGCAGGGTGGAGGGGAATAAAGGGGAGAAAATTGGACAACTGTAATAGCATAATCAATAAAATATATTTAAAAATTAGAATCTAAACCATTAAAAAATAAAAAATAAAGAGATGGAGGACAGCATGAAAAACTCCAATACATGCTTGATGGAAGTTCCCCCCCCAAAAAAAAAAAATAGAGTGTGGGCAGGAGGTAATGGTGATAATGGCTAAGAATGTTTCAAATTTAAAGAAAGGTATGAATCCTCAGATTGAAAAAAAGCACACTAAGTCTTTCACAGGATAAAAATAAATTGATATCTAGATACACTAGAATGAAATAAAATATCAAGGAAAGTGAATGAATCATAAAAGGTTCAGAGACTTCAAAGGAGACTACCAGACCAACAACAGACTTCTCATCAGTAACAGTACATGAGACAGTGGAAAAATAGCTTCCAAGTTTTGAAGGAAAATATCTATCAGTCTCAAAATTTATACTCAGCTATATCATTCAAGAGTGAGAGTAAATGAAGACATTTTCAGATATTGTAAGAAATATATTATTCATAAGCCCTCATTGAAAGAGATACTAATATACTTCCTTCAGCAAGGAAGAAAATAACCCTGGAAAGGAGGAGTAGGAGACAAGAAATCATGTACTAAAGACTTAGCCAAACACGTGGTATCCTGAATATCTTGTGTTGGCTCCAGGTCGGCCCTACACCCTTCACGTCCGCCAAGCTCCTGGAGGCTGGCCAGGATAGCCTACACCAAATAAGCTCCCTTGCTGTCTGGCGTGCAGTTGGGTTTTGCCAATGCAGAGCCCTACTAGGACGCTGCAGTAAGGGAGGATGGTGCAGTCAGAGTATACAGTCTCCTGTTCTCCCGGCAGGATGATCCTTGGCGTGGGTGCATACCTCTGAGGTCGCTGCTTCTCTCAGGATAACCCCGTGTGCACATCTCTCCTTTCAGGTTTCCGTGACAGCTCCCTTCCTAAATCCCTTCAGGCCTAGGCATGAGTGCTAAACCTCTCATGGTTCCTAGCTCTGGCATATTACACTGCCTCTTGTAGGTTGTTGTTTTTTTTTTTTAAGATTTTATGTTTTTTTGGGTTTT